CCAGAGAACACGAGAAGTCCATCGAACCTTCGACTCGGCAAACCTGCAAGAAAGCACCACTCCCTGCTCAATACACAGTGTTTCGGGGAATTCACCCCTCATCAGTTAAGCTTGAGTAGGCTGAGGAAGATTGTGCCTGAAGAGCACCACTTATATAGTGCTGTCCAGGCACAAACATCACCAGGGATACAAACTTACAGAGACACTCCGTTTCCAGCGCGACAAACACCTCGTGAACACCAGATAGCAGCGTGAGTCAGTTATCGCTCCTGGACGGTGAGAACAGACGAAGAGGACCCTCGGTCATTCACAACGCTGTCACCTCCAAACCACCTAGTCGCACGCCCGCGCTGGGCACAACAGTACGAAATAGAGGTTGCGACTTCGGCGATGATTTTGTTTAGGAATGGGTTTGCTCCCACACTGGAGCTCGCGCTATTCCGCCGACGACTTGACACTTGACTGACTCACGACTGCCATCCAGAGAACACGAGAAGTCCATCGAACCTTCGACTCGGCAAACCTGCAAGAAAGCACCACTCCCTGCTCAATACACAGTGTTTCGGGGAATTCACCCCTCATCAGTTGAGCTTGAGTAGGCTGAGGAAGATTGTGCCTGAAGAGCACCACTTATATAGTGCTGTCCAGGCACAAACATCACCAGGGATACAAACTTACAGAGACACTCCGTTTCCAGCGCGACAAACACCTCGTGAACACCAGATAGCAGCGTGAGTCAGTTATCGCTCCTGGACGGTGAGAACAGACGAAGAGGACCCTCGGTCATTCACAACGCTGTCACCTCCAAACCACCTAGTCGCACGTCCAGGAGCGATAACTGACTCACGCTGCTATCTGGTGTTCACGAGGTGTTTGTCGCGCTGGAAACGGAGTGTCTCTGTAAGTTTGTATCCCTGGTGATGTTTGTGCCTGGACAGCACTATATAAGTGGTGCTCTTCAGGCACAATCTTCCTCAGCCTACTCAAGCTCAACTGATGAGGGGTGAATTCCCCGAAACACTGTGTATTGAGCAGGGAGTGGTGCTTTCTTGCAGGTTTGCCGAGTCGAAGGTTCGATGGACTTCTCGTGTTCTCTGGATGGCAGTCGTGAGTCAGTCAAGTGTCAAGTCGTCGGCGGGATAGCGCGAGCTCCAGTGTGGGAGCAAACCCATTATGAATCTTTTAATAATAATATTATTATCTGGCAACTCAACCTCATACGTATAATTATCTAGCCACCCATTGACCATGATGCTACATGAGGAGACAATAATGATGACATTTTTCCAATTCCAATGAGACCAATTTTATGACGCTCCATGTTACTGAAGGACTAACTTCGATCATTGGTTTTCTAGAGCCCCATTCTCTAGGAGCTGTCTACATCTGCTTTGTTTCAATGTCCAGCATAAACGAACGTGTGGATCAAGCATAACTGTTGACGCTGCCGCGGGAATGCATATAATAATAATTAATAATCCTTGGCTCTCCATTCGAGTCCATTCTTATTCTTTCCTTTCGCGTCGAGGATACGAAACGGAAAAATATCACCCAACGGTCATATGTATAATTTTATGTTTCCTTCTTATTTGCGTGTTTTGCAGGTATGTCCCTTGGAAGCGGAGACATGCAGCTGGTGTTCCCCGCATTTTCGTCATGAACTAGAGGATTAAGACAACTGTGCTGCAACGGAGCACATTTTTAATACCTTGTCACGATATTTACTCTAGTTCATACCACATGCTATTCTCATACATTCGTGTTCGTAACCCACAAAACCCACATTACCGGTACAGAGACTGCTGTGATGTGACCACGTGACCACGCTTGTGCAGAAAGTGTGTGCGGCGGCGGCATTTGTATAGCGAAACCAGCATACCCCGTAAGAAGGCCTTAGGCCTGTGGGAATGCCCTTTAAAAAAAATTATAAAATTTAGTAAACACACTTGAGAGGGACGGAAAGCGTTTCTTCTGTAACTCTGAGTTTCACGGTTTTAACCGATCATCAGACAGCAACTAATAAAATTTAGTAATAATAATAACAATAATTAGGATGAAGGAAGGAAAAGGACAAAATGTTACGAGTTATGACAGACTGTCCACCAACGTAACCAGATCTTATTCAGTCAGCAAGTGCGACAACATGGCACAAAACTGACAACGTGTACTGCCCTTCTATGTCTATTACATAAACTTGAGCCTCCCAAGTTGGGCGGTCTGTTGCTTTGCGTCGTCGAGTTGTAGTAAGGCCGGTCTGTCCAATAGTCTTACTAGTTTCGTCATCATCCAGTAACTTTCGGCATTCTTTGTTGCCGTGATGCGTAGCTCATGCTCTTCTTCGTTGCGCTTTCCTTCCCCTCTTGGACCTTTTCGAACCTGAGCCTTCCAAGTTGGAAGGTTGTTGGTTTGCGTCTTGGAGAAGTGTTGGAGCTAGGTGTCAGGTCGCCGAATGTCTCTGTACTCCTTGTCAGTTTTGTGCCATTTTGTCGCACTTGCTGACTGAATAAGATCTGGTTACGTTGGTGGACAGTTTGTCATAACTCGTAACATTTTGTCCTTTCCCTTTCTTCATCCTAACTATATTGGCTCACCATCCGAGTTCAAATTTGCACACCTGACGAGCCGTCATGACCTATACGGCGAAACGTACGTCGTGTGGAACTACTTGTTATTCTTCTTCTTCTTCTTCTTCGGTAACTACAAGTCATAATAAATATGAAAATGACTGTGAGAGTACAGTGTACATGTAGTAGAAACTTAGATCAGTTTCTCCAGTTGCAAGAACTGGATAGCTTCTGATGGTTGTGTGAGAATTGCCTCCCTGACTGATGTGAAGGTACATAGACGTGTACCTGCTCGACTGCTGTGTCTGGCAGGGCAAGCTAGCAGGAGGTGGGCAGCATCATCAACTGTTCCAGGACAGTGAGTGCAGTCGGGTGAAGGTGCCGCCTCAATCTGGAACAAGTACTTATTCAGCAGGCTGCAATGGCCAGTGAGCAGCTGATTGAAGATGGTGGTCTCATGCCGGGACGGAGGGCTGCGGAACTTGCTGGTGTTGAGTAATGGCCGGGGGTATGCGGTTGCAGACCGAATTGAAGCCTTGGCAGCTTGGATAGGTAGCTGAACCTGGGCCTGTACACACTGTGTTCCATTCCGCGCAAGGCGATCCGCCTTGTCATTGAGAGCAACACCGCAGTGGCTGCTGATCCAGACAAGGTTGATGGAATGAGCCTTCCGAGCAACCTCTGTCAGAGCATCGAACGCAGCAATGGTGTCTGGGCTGATCCTGTATGGGTCTCCACGGAGGGCATCTACGAGGGAGAGGCTGTCAGTGACCAGCACAACGTCCGTCTCCATGGTGGTAAGGTCGTAGACTGCCCGGGATTCGGCGACCCTCACCTTCCCGTGGTGAATCCGTCAGGAGACTAGGCCTCGGTCTAGACCTGCCAAGCGAGGGTCAACCTCCGGTCCACTTGCTGGACTGGATAGCTAATACTTGTTATTGTACATGTACATAACTAGTCCATCATACAGGATAGTGAAGCTGTTCAGTAGGATGTTGGCGTTTCGGTTTGTCACAATTCGTCTTCGCTTAGCTTCTACAACAACAACAACAACAACAACTGCTCATAGCCTGCATCATAGATATGCACCACCACACCTTCTTGCAATTCACCTACCCCGAATACAACCCATTCGCACGCTCAGGTTCCCCCGAACCTTTGAGCTACCCACAACACGTACAAACCGGCTAAGAGACTCCCCCATCTATGCTTCTCTTGATCTCTTTAATAGCATCCCACCCAGCATCCGGCAAATCAACCCCAAACGAGATTTCAAAGCAAACATCCTACCACTTGTCATCTCTTCCGTATGTACTTGCTCACATTGCTCAGCACATCTATAGCTCCATTGCGCCCAGCCTACGTGATTAACTCCCAATTAGTATTGCCATCGCTACTGCCTCAGCAAGCAGCTAAACTTTGATCTCTCTGTATCTGATCCCCGTGCCTGTAATTATTTTTCTCTTATTGGCCACAGGCCATCGTGAGAATAAAAGAATTCAAACAACAACAACAACAACAACAGCAACAGCAACAGCAACAGCAACAGCAACAGCAGCAGCAGCAGCAGCAGCAGCAGCAGCAGCAGCAGCAGCAGCAGCAGCAGCAGCAGCAGCAGCAGCAGCAACAGCAACAGCAACAGCAACAGCAACAGCAACAGCAACAGCAACAGCAACAGCAACAGCAACAACAGCAACAACAACAACAACAACAACAACAACAACAACAACAACAACAACAACAACTCTTATTGGCGATGGTGCCATTGTGAGAATAAAGAGCCTGCATCATAGATATGCACCACCACACCTTCTTGCAATTCACCTACCCCGAATACAACCCATTCGCACGCTCAGGTTCCCCCGAACCTTTGAGCTACCCACAACACGTACAAACCGGCTAAGAGACTCCCCCATCTATGCTTCTCTTGATCTCTTTAATAGCATCCCACCCAGCATCCGGCAAATCAACCCCAAACGAGATTTCAAAGCAAACATCCTACCACTTGTCATCTCTTCCGTATGTACTTGCTCACATTGCTCAGCACATCTATAGCTCCATTGCGCCCAGCCTACGTGATTAACTCCCAATTAGTATTGCCATCGCTACTGCCTCAGCAAGCAGCTAAACTTTGATCTCTCTGTATCTGATCCCCGTGCCTGTAATTATTTTTCTCTTATTGGCCACAGGCCATCGTGAGAATAAAAGAATTCAAACAACAACAACAACAACAACAGCAACAGCAACAGCAACAGCAACAGCAGCAGCAGCAGCAGCAGCAGCAGCAGCAGCAGCAGCAGCAGCAGCAGCAGCAGCAGCAGCAGCAGCAGCAGCAGCAGCAGCAGCAGCAGCAGCAACAGCAACAGCAACAGCAACAGCAACAGCAACAGCAACAGCAACAGCAACAACAACAACAACAACAACAACAACAACAACAACAATAACAACAACTCTTATTGGCGATGGTGCCATTGTGAGAATAAAGAATTCAACAACAACATAACGAAGAGTCCACAAAGAACGAAACAGTTCTGTCCGCAGATTGAGTAAGCGAAATCTTCAATACCTGAAATAAAAATCCTACAGCTGTAGGAGAGATTGAACAATTTCTTCTTCAACCACATTACGGCAGATGTGCCCTTCTCAGGCCACAGTGAATTCCACAGACTGGGTTAATGATATTTCGTTAAAATAGTGCTCAGATCAAAAAATTAATGCTTTTAGAATGATAAAAGAGTAGAAAAACTCAAGAAGTGGGAATTGTACCCCGGGGCAGGACGGGGTTGGGGGTGGTGGGAGGGTCAGACTTGTACCCCGGGGAGGACACTGGATAAAAAGAAGAAAAAAAAGAGAAAAAGGAGCTGCAGCATTGATAAGAGGACAATCACTGCATATTGCCTCTGCCGCCACAAGCGCTCCTCTTCCCTGCCTCAATCATCATTGCTCATGCACCTACACACATGCTAGTATCCTGATACAGTCTGCTCGCTAACTTGTACATCTCCATGCCGCAGAGGTTACGGTTTTCGCGAGAAAACGGACGAAGCGCTAGATCAAGATTTCCTGCGATGCTGGATAATGAGGAAAACGACAGCCACGGCGAGCAGAGCAAAGAGCACGACCAGGATGACGATGAGAGCGATGGAGCGCGAATCGCTGCCCCACGATTTGCTTGAAGAGGAGGCGACCTCGTCCGATCCTGACCCTGTATGTGTTGTCATGGTGACAGTGTTGGTGCTTGGTGACACTGATGCTCCGGTGCTACCGGGATCATCTGAGCAGATGGCAGCCATCGAGTGGTATAGGGAAACAACACACACACATACACACACAGAGAAACATGCACACACACACACACACACACACACATGAATGAATGAACACTCCTGGTCAGTGGTACGCAAGCACGCACCCCCCCCCCCCCCCTCCCCTCACTGTCCTCCCCATGCAAAAACAAACACACACACACACACACACACACACACACACACACACACACACACACACACACACACACATTAGTCCTGTCTGAGCATTGGCATAAGTCGGTCACATTTCCGCTCATACAAAGGGCCGACAGATATGGGGTAGGTCGGTTGAGTACGGTACGCAGCAAGCTCCGCGGGCTAGCGGCCACATCCACACATAAACACACGCGGAAACACAAACTTGCATCCCCTCCCCAACACACACACACATACACACACACACACACACACACACACACACACACACACACACACACACACACACACACACACACACACACACACACACACACACACACACACACACACACACACACACACACACACACACACACACACACACACACACACACACACACACACACACACACACACACACACACACACACACACACACACACACACACACACACACACACACACACACACACACACACACACACACACACACACACACACACACACACACACACACACACACACACACACACACACACACACACACACACACACACACACACACACACACACACACACACACACACACACACACACACACACACACACACACACACACACACACACACACACACACACACACACACACACACACACACACACACACACACACACACACACACACACACACACACACACACACACACACACACACACACACACACACACACACACACACACACACACACACACACACACACACACACACACACACACACACACACACACACACACACACACACACACACACACACACACACACACACACACACACACACACACACACACACACACACACACACACACACACACACACACACACACACACACACACACACACACACACACACACACACACACACACACACACACACACACACACACACACACACACACACACACACACACACACACACACACACACACACACACACACACACACACACACACACACACACACACACACACACACACACACACACACACACACACACACACACACACACACACACACACACACACACACACACACACACACACACACACACACACACACACACACACACACACACACACACACACACACACACACACACACACACACACACACACACACACACACACACACACACACACACATACGAGTACTTCCAGTAATACCATTTGCCCTAAGTCACTACCCAGCCAACCTACCCGAGCACTCGATAGCTGCTGCCGGTCCATCATCCGGACAGAACTGCTCCGCGAGCACAGAGTTACTCGCACAGTCATCCAGGGACGTCTCGTCGCCACGGCAGAGCAAACGAGAGTAATGAGGTTTCCCAGTACCGTTGCCATAACTACCTGAATCCAGGACGCGCATGGCCGACCGGAAGCCCAATTGCCGGCACGCAACCTTCGCCTCCGGCATGTAAAAGAATGCAGCTGGGCAAAAGATCAGAACATTAAAAAATATATAATTATTTATTTATTACTATTATGGCAATAAATAAGATAAATTGTGCACTCATAACAACAGCAAAAATGAAGAAAGTCAAGTTCCATAACGTTTTCTTGTGACTGTCATCAGTGGAACGCCGTCACATAAAAATGTAATAACTAAAACACACACTTATATACATGTAGCTAATATGGTTTCAGGTAGAAATACAGCAGCTAACAAGTACAAAAAGCGAAGTTTGCACCTTTGCAATGTGTGAATATAGTGTATGTGAGAAAGGTAGTGGCAGATGAATGTGATACTGTGTGAATGAATGTAATGGTGCGTGTGTATTACTTCTGCCACTACCTTTCTCACATACACTATATTCACACATTGCAAAGGTGCAAACTTCGCTTTTTGTACTTGTTAGCTGCTGTATTTCTACCTGAAACCATATTAGCTACATGTATATAAGTGTGTGTTTTAGTTATTACATTTTTATGTGACGGCGTTCCACTGATGACAGTCACAAGAAAACGTTATGGAACTTGACTTTCTTCATTTTTGCTGTTGTTATGAGTGCACAATTTATCTTATTTATTGCCATTTTACGACTATTGTCTCCTCGTCGATTGTTTATTACTATTAGGCCACACTTTTGTTTTTTCTATGTTTCTCGTCGGCAAATTTTAACAAAAGGTATGCGGGCGGGCGGAAAAAAACAAAAGCCAAGGAAAAAACAAGAACAATTTCTACTGAAACTGTATACATTTTACAATGTACATGTATATGCGTGATTCATACAAGACACTGCGTATACCATGTATACAGCACTACATTGTACAATCATGTACATGTACTCCCATACATGATTGCACTACATTATCACATCAGCCCACGAATATCAGGCAAACTGCAACAATGTCAATGAGAGCATAAAGTTTGATTACGAGATGGCGAAGAGAACATACATTTATCTGCGATCGCATCAACAACCGTTTCCCACTCGTCATTAATTTTTGGTTTTGTTACTTCAACGTTCTCTCTTGTGTCCGCTTATCAAACTCTTGTCTCCATGCTGCTCATCTTTTCCTTGCCATGCGTATATTGCTTCGATTTTCTGCCTACGGCCAGACGCCAGACGCCAGTTGCCGCGGAACTCGTCCGACTTACTGTTCCTGGGACCCACGAGGCTCAGCTCAGCCTGTGAACGACTGAAAGCTTCGTCATGACAGCCTTCATCGCAGAGAACGGCTCCTTTGCTGCATGCTGTGTTGCAAACGTTTACGACTATTGATTGACGCATCTAGCTGCTGCAGCATGTGCAGCGTACATACATGTACACATGTACGTAGTATGAACTTTTTTTTTCTTCCGAAATTTCTGAAAACCTACGCGGCCGATGACGAGAAACATAGAAAAAACAAAGTGTGGCCTTAACACCGCGTTATCATCAAGTCTATGATCACTGAATAATTTAGTATTGAATAATGCAACGAAGAATTCAGAGGACGACTCATCAGGAACAAAGGAAAGATCGAACAGCAACAAGAGACAAGCGCTGTCGAATATGGGCACAGAGTACACACATGCATGCGTATGTTGGGTAACGGAAATGTCTTATCCTCCCAGATACAACGAACAACGGGCACGGGTAGGGGGAACGGCATTTATTAATAGGAGACGAAGAGAGGGAGACAAAGACAAACGAAACGACTACATTATGGAAGAGAGAGAGAGAGAAAGAGAGAGAGAGAGAGAGAGAGAGAGAGAGAGAGAGAGAGAGAGAGAGAGAGAGAGAGAGAGAGAGATCGTTCGAGTGAGAGAGAATGCAAGGTAAAGGGCCTGGGAAGCTATAGCAAATATGGGCGCGCAAGCATCTACAGTAAACTTGGCAAATAACGACTGCGGATATAACGACAACTCGCGAATAACGACAGAATTTCGATGCCCAGAGAAAAGTGCAATCTAATTGTAATACATAAAATGAGACTTCGGGTGTATGGACACTTCGCAAATAAGGACACTTTTCTGATGCCCCGCCGAGTGTCGTTATACGCAGAGTTGACTGTTTTATTTATTTAAATAATCAACGTGGAGACAACAATTTTATAATAGCAATAAAGAGAACAAATTCTGCAGTCATCGCCACACTACAACGAAGTCATGAAAGTTTACCAGAATTAATTTTCTTGTCACATTCATCAGTGGAAAGTCATGACTGAAGAGTAACCATGCTGAACAATGATTAAATATGAGCACCAGCCAGCAGAAACCTGAACATGTGTAATTTTTTCAAAAATTATTTTCCCCTCGAAATTGTTTCTACACTATTAATCATTCAAGTTATCAAGTTTGGTGGCAATCTGATAAGCGAAAGCATGGAAAATAGAGTTTGAAGTCACACAGGTCAAGATTCGGTACAGTTGGCGCCGCATCAATGCCTAGTGACTCCATGCAAGTTGATCCTACAGTTTCTAATTGTGATGTGGAACAGGTACATGTAAGTAAACAGAATGCAAGTCAGGCTTGCCCTCTGGATGCTGCAGGCATGAGTAGTTCAGAAGTGTGACGATATTCCGTATACATCACTACCTTCTTTACAACACCAGAGTGCAAAACGATGATTGGTGGCTGGCCTTCCAAATTGTGTTCAGGGACCTCTGTGCTGGCAGTTTGAGTGTTGTCCCAAAGCTTGCCATACTGATAGATGTACTGACCAATACCACTGACATCCACTCCCTTGCACACTTTCACTCAGACCATGATTTCAGCATAATTGTATTTCAATGATATGAGCGAATACTCGCGTTTTGTAGCACGTGAAGATGTTGCCCCAAAGCGTTCAGCCGGTTTGAGTTTTTAGGGATCCCCTTTCTCAGCACAGGCAGTAGCCAGCTTGGCGCCGTCTGGCAAGGTAAAGTACTGATAATACTACGTTCTGTTTTGCGCCATGGGAAGCACTCCATCAGTGTCTGCAACATCATTGTTGTCGATGTAGAAATACGGATCGCTCAGCGGGTCGACATTCAGCTTCTCCTCGCAGTCGCTATTACTCCAGCACTGACTATCGTCGCCACCAGTATCCAGTGTCGATTTTATGAGGGCTCCTCATTGCTATGCATATGAGACTCGCCACTGCTGGACAAACTCAGCGAGATCGCCACCAAAGAAATAATTCCGATCGCGAACTAACTTTCAGCGCCGCTTCGTACAGGGAGTCTCACGCTGACAACTCTGGACCTAAGCCTTTGTCGTGACACCTGTCGCCATCGCTGTGTCTAAACTCAACCTCCGTGTGACGAGCTCTCACCTAGCGCTAAAATCAATTGACCAGAGACATTTGAAGACACTTGAAACTCCTTTGACAACAAAGACACCCACTCGATCGAAAAAGAATCTTCAAAAGCCAGCTCACTGCGCGTCCCAAACTTTGACGTCACATTTTGATGATTGATATCAAGTACACAAGTGCTGGTTTTCGCTGGCCGGGGCTCATATATTCAATGATGTGTTACACACACACACACTCTCTCTCTCTCTCTCTCTCTCTCTCTCTCTCTCTCTCTCTCTCTCTCTCTCTCTCTCTCTCTCTCTCTCTCTCTCTCTCTCTCTCTCTCTCACACACACACAAACACACACATACAAACAAACACCATTGGACCATTGGACGCCCATTGCCGGAAGCGATGATAGCGATGCTACAGGAGAAGCCATAGCACCTTGTGTTGGGATTGCACCATTCAACAGCTTGCAAGGCTGACGAATTGACCGCCAAACACACACACATACACACACACACACCAATACATAGTTCACACACAGATCACTTACCGCACGCGTAACCTGTCGTCGAGCCAACACTTCTTTCCACTCGACCAACGGTAGGTGAAGGTCCACCTGCGAGACTGAGCATGGGCTGCGTTCCTGGAACACATCATGACGACGTTTGTGTGGTACACACGTACACGCAGCAAAACACAGACGCAGGCAGCGTGACACAGACACATGCGACGAGACACAGAAACATGCGGCAAAACACAGACACATCCAGAAAACACAGACACGTGCGACGAGACACAGGCACACGCGGCGAAACACAGCACATGCGGCGAAACACCCACACATGCGGCGAAACACAGACACATGCGGCGAGACACAGACACAGACGGACAGAACTGTGAAAACGGAGAACGCATTGTGTCTCTCAAACATGAGTATACCTGTAAAAGTGACCAAGTGGCAGAATGATGGAGAGTCGTCAATGGTGAGCACAGTGGACTCGGTGAGTGCGTTCGATTATGCCCGCGAATGAATTCGCGCTATTCACATCACTCCATGTGAATAGGGTGAATGGATTCCGAATCGTTTCCAGGGCTCATGACGTGAAAATCGAACGTCTTGAATGCATGCGAATGGATTCATGAATCGATTCAAGTCCGAAATCGAACGCAGCCGGTAAGCACTAGCCCAAAACTGTGGCTAAGACTGTGTACAGGGTCACATGACTTTGTGGACTCATTATATAACAGGTGTTCATGAGCAGGTTATGAGCGGCTGAACTCTGCGATAATATCAATAATCATCATGTTCTCGGCCAACACCGAAGACAGAATCATACCCTACATGTAAATGTCATAAGGATGTAACAACTGGTGTTGTGGTTGTTGTAGCCGTCGTCGACGTCGTCGTCGTCGCCGTTGTTGTTGTTGTTGTGGGCTTACAAAAAGGCCTGAGCTCTATTATAAATAGCCACATTTGCGACAGATGTTGCCAGGAAACTATCTGCCAAAAGGGAAATGCTGGAAATAAACAATGGACACAAGCTTCCATTGATAATTGTGACAAGGAAACATTCCAGAATATGTTATTCGTCACCCTGAATGCCATAGGTGTGTGCACATAGTTTTTGTCATTGCTTTAATAAAGACTATCGTCTCCACGTCGCCTCCATAAATGAGCAAGTTTCTTACCATTACACGCTATTGCAATAGAGCTGAACTTATC